TGGGCGCGGCCTCGGGGCATCGGCCTCCCGCCTCTCTATCTCCGGCGCAGGTGGATCTCCTCAGATCGTTCACCTTCCGCAATTCGCGGCAGACGTACAACGGCATCCCCATCATCGCCGCCAACATGGACACCGTGGGCACCTTCGACATGGCCAGGGAGCTCTGCAAGGTCTCCGGCCCATCACTCATTCCCCAGCCCATCAGCAACAGGGATCCCGCCCTACCGGTTCTCCCTAGCTCAGTCAGCACTGGGAAGTCCCTCCCCCTAGACCTGAAGCACATTATAAATCATGTGATTACCTGCCTTGGCCAATCAGCATCAAGGTTGTGATCAATTTCCCAGCCAATCAGCTTTAGGGAGTCCCCCCTTCAAGGAATCATTGGAACGCATGTGATCAACTGCTCAGCCAATCAACAATCAGGGACTCCCCTGGACCCTTCCATTATAACAATGGGAGTTCATGACTACAATCTTGGGCTGTTCCATTGTAAGGGGGGGGAGAATCCTCTTCTTGGTGGGCTGTTCCACTACAAGAATGGTATTTGTAGTGAGCAATCCCATTATAATGCGGGGCGGGGGGGATCTTTTCCCTTGGTGGGCCATTCCATTATGATGGGCTGTCGGAGGGAGGGTGCCCCTCCGCTCAGCGTCACACCCTCATGTCCTTCTCTCCCGCCAGTTCTCACTTTTCACTGCCATCCATAAGCACTACAGGCTGGAGGAGTGGAAGGAGTTTGCTACCCAGAACCCTGATTGCCTGCAGGTAAGGATGGGGAGTCAGCCATGCCCCCCACATCCCCAGCTAACTCATGGCAATGAACCCCACTGCTGTCCTGGAAGCCATTCTAGCCTAACTTCATTCTAGCCTTGGGCGGGGTGGGGGGTGGGGCCTCCTGCCCTATGGGTACCACCAACCCCCCCCTTATTGCCCCAGGAGGGGGTTCTCCCCCTGAAAAACAATCCCAGCACCCCACTGTCTCAGGGAGTCCCCTGCCCTCACAGACCTCCACACGCTTTCCGTATTTCTCTGGAAACCGTCCCAGCTCCCTCCTCGGCAGATCTTACCCCAGAGCTTTCTATCTTGTGTGGTAATCTCAAACCTGTGTAACAGCTAGTGGGTGGATTTGACCCTGGGACCTCTGGAGCTTAGCGTAGGAGCCTCTACCACTTGAGCTAAAAGTCAGCGGGCCCTCAGCCTAGGCTGCAGAGGTCTCTTGTTATCTGTGGCTGAGGTGTAAGTGCCGCTGCATGGGACAGCGAACCACACTAGGTGTGGGTTACACCTGCGTCTCTCCCAAGCACGTGGCGGCCAGTTCGGGCACCGGCCCCTCAGACTTCGAGCAACTCGAGAAGATCCTGGAGGCCGTCCCCCAAGTGCGCTACATCTGCCTGGACGTGGCCAACGGCTACTCGGCGAACCACACGGTGTGGGTTACACCTGCGTCTCTCCCAAGCACGTGGCGGCCAGTTCGGGCACCGGCCCCTCAGACTTCGAGCAACTCGAGAAGATCCTGGAGGCCGTCCCCCAAGTGCGCTACATCTGCCTGGACGTGGCCAACCGCTACTAGGAGCGGCGTGTTCCGTTCCTCCGGG